CTCCCGAACCGCCTCGCCAAACTACCTCCTCCGGGACTCAGCGGCTCCGAATCGCTCATCGATCCGGGCGCCGCGCTCGCCGGTCTCTGCGGCGGCACAAAGCCTGTCCTCCCACTCGGCGAGTCGATCGTCTCGCGCCGCACGGGTGTGCGCGAGCCGGACTCGTGGTCGGACGGCGCCTCGACGACCACGGCGGGCCGCTCCATCCGCTCGCGGAACCCGCCGCCGAGCTCGGGCATCGCGCTCCTTGGTTCGTCGAACATCCGCCCCGGGCCGCCCGCGCGCTCGGAGACCGTTATCGAGTGCGAGCGGCGGTGCGTGGAGGGCTGCGGCGCGCGCGGCATCGTTGGCAGGTTACTCTGTTCGCGCAGGGGTCCGGTGGATTGTTGCGCCGAGAAGGAGGTTTGGGCTGCGGCTGAGGATGGTGTGCTGGGTACGGGCTGTTGGATTGGCGGGAGAGCACCGGTGTCGCGCGCGCGGGGCTGGCCGCGCGATGGGGTCGTGGTGGCGGCGGTGTCGTAGGACATGCCGGAGTAGTGCGATGTGGCGGGCGCGGGGAGGCGCGGGAGGGCCATGCCGTAGTCCGGCGCTTGAGTTTGAGAGTGCGAAGACGGGGTATGGGTGGGGGCGGTGGGTGCAGAGGGATCGTGGGGCTGGGGCTGGGGCGTGACGAGCGACATCTGGGACGAGGCGAAGTGGCCGGGCCCGTAGACGCGCTCGCGCTCCATGCGTTCGCGGACGAGGAAGTAGATCGAGACGAGCGGGTGGAAGCCGCGCGTCGGGTCCGGGATCTACAAATCGACCTCTCAGTAAGAAACCTACTTCACAAATCAATCGAGTAGTAAGATATACGCACATTCGCACCAGCATCCGCCAAACTCGCCGCGCTCGCACTCGGGCTCGCCGGCGGGCTGCTCGCCGGGCTAAACAGCCTCCGCCTATAAAAGTCGAACCCGCTGAACCGCTTGCTCTTCTTCTCCTTCCCGGCCAGCTCCTGCCTGCTCGAGCTCCCGCCGCCCACGCTGCCCACGGCCGTATTGCCGTCCATAGACGTGCCCGACAGCGCGAGCGACGAGTTGCTGAAATCGCCCCGCCGGCGCTCCCACGCGGCGACGGCGCGCGCGTAGCCCTCCGAATCGAGGACATCGACCAGCCGGCGCTCGATATCGTCGGGGCTGCCAAACTCGAAGCCGGTCATCTGCTTTATGACCTCGCGATCGAGCTCGTCGACGCGCAGCGGCGTGCGGGGCAGCAGGTGCGGGTCGGGCGGGCCGGGGAAGCCCCTGTTCATCCAGGGATGGGAGAGGATTTCAGAGAGGGGCGCGCGCTGGGCGGGGTTTGTGACGAGCATGCGGGAGAGGATGTGTTTGCAGTCGGCGGAGAGCCAGACGGGGTACTCGACGAGCCCGCGCTTGATCTTGGCGTGTAGAGCCGGCATGCTCTGGTCGTCGAACGGCACCTTGCCGCACACCAGCACGTACAGCACCACCCCGAAGCTCCACACGTCCACCTCGGGCCCCGTATATAATTTCGCGTTGAGCAGCTCGGGCGCGGCGAAGTATAAGGAGCCGCAGAAGGTGCCGAGGTGCGCCGCGGGGTCGTACAGGTTCGAGAGGCCAAAGTCGATGATCTTGATGTTGCCGGTGTGGGAGATGAGGATGTTCTCGATCTTCAGGTCCCGGTGCACGACGCTGTTCCGGTGGCAATATTCGAGCGCGGCCCCGATCTGCCTCGCGAACTTGCGGGCGACGCGCTCGCGCAGGCGGCCGTGGGCGATGATGTAGTCGAGCATCTGCCCGCCGTCGACGTACTCGAACACCATGTAATAATGGTGCGCGTGCACGATCATCTCCCGCATCCCGCAAATATAGGGATGATATAGTAGTTGCGACAGCGCGGCCTCGCGCAGAGTGCGCACTTCCTTGGACGCGTCTTTGGCTGCCTGTTTCGCTGCGGGGTCGTTCGGGGACGTGCCCGCGGGGATCTGCGCGGGTATCACGCGCGGTAGAATCTTCACGGCCAGCTATATTATACTATTAGTACCCAATACCACTCTATCAAGTGAATATACATACCTTCTCTCCGGTCACGTTATGGTGCGCGAGCTTGACCTTGCCCATCGAGCCCGCGCCGAGCGTCTTCGAAAGCGTATAATCGCCCAATATCCTGTTCGTCGTCCGGCTCTTCTCGCTCCTCCTCGTAGAGCCGTTCCTCGCCTCGGCAGGCGCCGCAGCATTCGCGGCCGGCGCGGGGGGCATGCTCATCGGTCGTGGGCGTGTAGGCTGGGCGGTGCGGGGTGCCGGCGCCGGTGGGGGTCCGTGGCGGTCGACGACGGCGGGCGGTGGCGGGGTATTGATGTTGTTTATGTTATTGTTTGGGGATATGTAGTCGTACTCTCCGCCGGACGCGACGACGCCGCCGTGGCTGGGAGTCGGGAGGCCGGAGTCTTCGGGGGGCGCGAATGTGTTGGGGCGCGGGTACGTCGCCAACATCAACGACGGGTGTCGGAGCCAAACGCCCTTCGCTTATCCCCGCCCTAAACTCGAAAACGTGTTCTAGACGCTGACGCCCACCATCGCGCTCTCTTGGTCAGCCGTTCCCTCGACTTGATAGAGTTGCCCTTTGTCCCACCTACCGTACCCTTGTCTGTCCTGCTGTCAGGGAATTCCGCAGCCACTGGCGGAAAGCCCGCACGTTGCCGTCGACGTCAGCTTCTCGCACGCGGCACAGAAGAATATATTCAAGGGGAATATCTATTCTATGTGTCCGATACTGAGATTAGCCATGAAGGCCATGTTGCTCGCCCACCAGCCTGAATAGTATCACATACAATAGCGCGCTGCGAACTCAGGTGCTGCGACGATGCCTGTCCTCCTACACGCTTCGATTCTGCCTCGTCGTATCAAGTTATAGCGCCCTGTGCTCAACCAGTCCTACTGTCAAGACTCTCGCACTGTCAGATTCGCAAATATGCGCCTTGCATCATGTTCATCGTTCGTTTAACAAGAGAAGGAAACGATGCTTAGTGCATGGCACAAGCATCATGGCACATCGCCGGAAGCCTCGACCCCCGACTTTCATACTTCAGTCGTCTCACTAGCTAGAAGACATCGCGCGAAACCCTACGTACGTACGTTCAAACTTCCGCTTCCTGTTGTACGGCTCGTACTCACTGATGTTCAGAGATATCGCCAGATCAGGTCCGGGCTAGCAGCGCATCTGCAAGACCGAGCGAGCCTAGTCTTTGCACATTTCCTTCATTGTCGAGCCCGCGGCTTGCGTACATGGCTCGCAGTCTATACAGACCGCCATCCTCACGTTTCGAACCCCACCGACTCCGAGTCGTTCGTCCGAGATCCCCGACGACGTGTAAGTACACACCCTTCTTCGCGTGTAACGTCGCACGTAGACTGCAGCCTTGTTTCGCTTATCCCCGCCTTAGCCCACAACGTGTTCTAGACGCTGACGCCCACCATCGCGCTCTTGGTCAGCCGCTCCCTCGATAGAGTTGCCCTTTGTCCCACCTACCGTGCCCTTGTCTGTCCTGCTGTCAGGGTATTCCGCAGCCGTCGACGGAAAGCCCGCACGTTGCCGTCGACGTCAGCTTCTCATACAGTTCAGAGTCACAGCAAAGAATAACTATACGGTCGGGGATCGATGTGCGTGAGGCCGCTTTTGACCGCTAGGTGTATCGTCACCCGCTCATCTACGCCATAGAAGAACTGTGCTCAGCTAGTCGAGTCCGTCTCTCGACGCAAAGTGCTACGGAGATACAGACTTCGGAGACAATGGTACTACATGATCTTCTCTTGACATGATGACGTGCATCCTATATATGCGATGCAGGTCTATACACCGAAATGCGCAAATGGCGCCCAACGATGGAACTTCCTCTCCCCGACGTGTGCTCTCAAAACCTTCGCTGCTTCGTGTAAGGCGTAGGCCGCACCGGTGTATCCTGGAGCAATGTTTCCTGCCTGTCGAAGGCGGAGTAGGCTTTTGTAAAATGCTTCCACGATAATGGGTGCGTCCATGTCTACCATTGACCACATCGTCCCAATGGCGCCCTTGAAACCGGCTACAAGCATCCCCGCTGCAAGATGTGCCGAGTCTTCCGGCACATTCTCCACCGCCACAGCGGTTCCGCACCCAGATAGAAACGCAAGCTCCGCGTTCTTTATGGCTATGTCCATTAGGTTCGACAACATGAAGGGGCCGTCGTACAATTGGAAAGCGTTTTGAGTTGGCCTCTTGGGTCTATTGCTTCCATGACAGGCAATGTGAAGCCACGGACATCCACACTCCTGTATTGCCCGCTTGACCACTTCTACACGCGCCTGCTTTCCGTCTAAGACGGTGAGCGAGAATCCTTGTAGGACATCCTCCATGCGTGCATATTCGAGACATACAGCAGGAAGAGGTAAGAGACGAGGAGTATCTGGCTGTAAGACTATCAGGGCATCTGGACGCGCACTTAGTGGTGCACTTGGTCTCTGATAGCAGCGCACGAGAGCAGCAAGAGAAGGGGTATAAGATGAGACCACGTGGTCAAAGGTGCGCTGTAGAGTACCAGGCGTGTGCGGCCAATCATAGATACCTGCAGCATGAAGCGGCAAGTGGCTGATGGCTTGAGGGAGGCACCAAGTAATGTGCGGGAGCGGGGTGGAGGGAACGGCCTTGATCTTTACTATTGTTAGAGACATCTAGTGTGTATGGAGGGAAAATACAACTCACGAAGTCAAGAGCACTAAGAATCGGCTGCACAACCCGGACCCAAAGTGTGCACAAGATACGTTCTGATATATTCCGCGCACCACGAAAAGTGGCCCCGGGGATGCTGCCATAGATCATCATGCCCCTTTCGTCTTCTATGGGGGCACTGTATGGACTAGACCTCCAGTCTTCGGATGGAATAGATGTCCAGAGTTGGTGCAAGCGATTGGCTTTATCGAGAGTGAAAGCGGTAAGTGCTATATGTCTAACGGCTCCAGTCGGGAGGAGTACCAGGGCATCACACGAAGATTAGTATAGGTTGATGAACACTACGGGTCCGTCGAAGTGCCTGATGATAGGCACGAGACTGGTCACTTTCGGTTGATGTAAAAAGTTCTCAAACCCTTGCAGACCCCGAATTTGAGTCATGACACGCTCGTATTGAACGACTAGCTCCCTTTGGTGCTCCATTACTGTAGTAGCCATTTCAAAGCATTTGAGTGTTGCGATGATGCCGTCCGCAGGGCGCATGACCGTTGAAGGTCTTGAACCATTCTGAACCCCATAAGGTAACTCAAGACGCTGAACAGCCGATGAGCGCCGAAAAGCCGAAGAGATATCCTGCAGCGTGCTCGCAAGCTCAGGATGTGTGTCCGATAATATCTGCAAGGGATCGCGAAAGGTAATTTCTGACCAGACGAAAGATTTCCCTGTCTCCGTCCAGTCGAGTGCTTGATATCGCAGGCGACAGCCGATGAAATCAAAGATCGCCGTTCCTACTATTTCCCTGAGCTGAGAAGCTTGTTGATATCGGCACTCAACCTCGTAACCGAACCATACAAGCTCGGGAAAGATCTGGGTGAGGCGGGAATGAGCAAGGATCAAGGTATCCGCAGAAGCAAACTCCTCGTATTCACGTATGAGAGTCAAGGATATGATGGCCGAGTCTAAGCGGATCCCTGGTGTGCCGAATGGGCAGACCACGGCGTCCATGAGAACATTGATGGCGGCGTCGAAGTACAGTTTGCTTTGATTCCGCCGGAATCGGACCACGTGGGCAAGGCCAAGACAAGACAGATGCACGTGCTTGTCTGGATGACTATCCGGCGTGAGGTCTACAGCCTGCGCGCATGCTGCTATCGCGTCCTCGAGGTCGTGTAGCTCCCCGAGACGTAGGAAACGAGTGAGCAGAGAGAGAGCAAGGCTTTCAAGTCTCGCGGGACGATCTGCGTGACCCTCAGGCGTGCTTTCGAGAGCGTTCTTCTGGTCCGTGATTGCGTCCTCAAGACCCTGAACATTGGGGACGCCGGGTTCGTTGGCATCTTGGTCTGCACCTGCGTGTAGAGCTGGATCGTTCTGTTCCGCGGTAAGGTCCTCTAGGGTATTCATACGTGACAGAGTGTGGATGTTCCGTAGTCTGCCATACTCGTGAGTAGCGCGCTAACCTGACATTCGCGAGATATTGTGACTTACGCGGAGGGGCGGAGTGCTGGACGAGGCCACGTCGAGGCAAGCGCAGGGAGTGCGAAGAAGGGGGACGTATGCTGATCTTGCACTGATATTCTTATGAAAATGAATGTGCACCCTTAACCCTGGGTTTTCCTCGCTGTGTAGGCGATGCAAGCAGTGAGAACAGCACTTGGATTCGGCTATGGTCATTTATGCGGCCGTACTAAGTTGGTGCCGTACTGCATTCTTATGCTTGGTATCAATTGCACAAGAGGAAAGGTCTTATTCGCTCCCTGAACCCGTCCCTTTGTGGCGCAGTCTAAAGTGACATGTTTCCCTGCTTGGGCCCGTCTGCCCTGGACCCAGAGGTGCCCTTATTCATCGTCACAGACGCGCTGGCTATACACCACCTAGCCGACGCAGAGCACTTACTGTAACTTGTATATTAGAGCATAGCATATCACAGCATGGTAAACTGCACCTCAACCAAGGAACTTCCTACCCCAACTCCTCGGAAGTTCAAATCCGAGTCGCTGCAACAGCGGATAAGTGACTGCGATAGTAGGAATCCGGGAACTGGGGCAAAACATGGTGTTGCGCTTCCAACAATATCATTTGGTGGGCTGTATCAAGTTCGAAAACGTAGCATGAAAGCAGTGATGATTGGGGGAGGAAAGCGAAAGAAATCCGGGCGCCCCGCGTCGCTCAACCCCCCTACTATCACGTGATCTACACTCACGCCTCTCACGCGGGGGTCGAGACGCGAGATCAGTCCCGCTACCCGCGCCACCTCGCGGCCGCCACGTCCTCCTCTTACGGATGATTTCGCACAGCGCTACCGGCGCAGGGCGTAATCTGCGGAGAGGGAAGAAAGGAACGTAGGTTGGCGGGGAAGGACATGGGTGGGTGCCGGGTAGTACAGGAAAGCGCGGAGGTGCGCGCGCACGGTGCGCTGAACGTTAACGTTGTGACGGTTTGACCGCCGTACGTATATCATCTGGGCACAGGGTTGACCCGCAGGTATATATGCTCGGACTTGGTCTCAGAGTGGCGATTGTTCTCCTGTCGTGTCCCACGTCCCGTACACGAATCGTGGATTTCGCTGTGCGCATATATGCGGTGCTACGCAGTATTGGCGAGACTATTGACACATGATCATTTGAACAGTGATATATCTAATCCTTCGGCCATCATCTCTCAGCAATGAAGCGCAAGCACGAGGACCCCCACTTCGTACGGCCCGCAGGTTCTCAAGGTCCTGCTCAACGGGCATCCTTCAGCGAGCAATCGTCCAGCGATGTTCCTTCTCTCAAAGATCACCATTTGCTACCCATCACCCTCGACAACGCCAATCATGGACTCTCACAACTCGCTAGCCTCGAACGCGCGATTCCGGCCCATCAGACCGTCACAGACGTCGATCTCGAGGCTACGCGGCCCACCTACCTCGCGCACTCATTCCTTTCTCGCTTTCAATGCTCAGGGCAGCTGGACGACCTCGAACGTGCGATCATCGCCACCCGATCATCCCTCGAAGACATTCCGGGCGAACGATCTTATCAATCTTCTCTGCTTGCCGATCTCTGCAATTCTGCTGTTTCTCTGTGGGGACGAGCAGTTTGCAATGACAGCTCAGACGACCTCGAGATTATCATTCATTTGGGCCACCAGATCATCGATCTCATACCGGAAAGAGACCCCGAGAAGCCTGTAGTCCTTTACAGACTTGGCCTTCTCAAGGAAGCTCAATTCTATGGCAGTCGCGACAAAGCTAGCTTTGACGCAGCGGTCACCACGTTCGTGGAGATTGCCGCGCATTCTTTGGCCAATCCGTCTATTCGCTTGGATGCAGCGAGAAGATTCGTCTCTCTCGTGTCCGAATGCGTCGAGTTTGCATCCGCAGATATCTTGTTGTTCACGTACGAGCGCGTCTGTGAGATCTTCCCTGAGATTGTACAACTTGGACATACTATTGCGCACAGGTATGAAGAGTCTGCGAAGCTAGGAGTCTTAGTCACTTCTGCCGTTCCCGCTTTCATCAGTTGCCGCCTAAGGCACCAAGCGATCGTGTGGATGGAGACCGGTAGATCTCTGGTCTGGTCGCATATATTATCTCTACGCGAAAAGGAAGGCTTGGAGCGCATACATCCAACGCTCGCACGGGCACTGCACGAAGTCTCATCGAGCCTCCGGGACTCGGGAGCTGGATTTCATGCGATCTCGCAGACGCTTCAACCCGCACCTTCAGGACATGTCACCCGCAGTGTGACCGATGGCGCGGCGGACGGCCACCGCAATTTGGTTGCCCAGTATGAAGCTATCATGAACGAGATCCGGGGCCTTCGAGGCTTTGAAGACTTTCTACGTCCGCCAACGATCGCGAGTTATATGGCGATCATAGAGCATCTGGACGGACCTGTTGTCTACATCAATGTACACTCGTCCTCGTGTGATGCGCTTGTTCTCCTCCCGAACGGAGGTATCAGACATGTACCGCTCCGATCTCTGAAGGAGAAAGAGGCTACGAAATTACGTTCTCGCTGGGTACATAACCTGAATCAGTGTCACAGTCGTGTGCGTGCGAACGGGTCGCAAATATGGAACTCCATGTCTGGACAGCGCGAGTTCCGGATCATGTTAGAATGCCTATGGAAGTGGGTGGTAGAGCCAATCCTCGGAGCGTTAAACTTGGTATACTTCGACCATCGGCTTGTGTGAGTCTCAATGGCTGACGATCAACCGGCAGATCACGATGTCGAATCAATTGACACACATTACCTGGTGTCCCATGGGTCCACTCACCCAACTCCCTCTCCACGCTGCAGGTATATATAGCGGAGAAAGGGCGTCACAACTTCATGCATTTGATTTTGTGGCATCATCGTACACCCCGTCCCTGTCCGCACTTCTTCGCTGTCAAAAACAGTCACGAGCCAGGCCGCCGCAACCAAGCGTACTGGTCATCGCGCAGCCCTCGGCACCGGGACTCGAACATCTTCCAGGCATTCAAGTCGAATGCCAGCGACTGCGCGCTGTGATCCCAAGCCATGTGCATGTCAAATTCCTGGAGGACAAGCAAGGTACAGCACACGCGTCCCTGGAGGCCATAAAACAGCATCCCTGGGTTCACATCGCCTGTCACGGAGCACAGAACGCGGCCGATCCGACGAAGAGCGCGTTCGCGCTGTACAACAGTCAATTGACCCTATCCGCACTGATGGGCACAGTAGCGGAGGAAAGTGCGGAGTTGGCGTTTCTCTCTGCATGCCAGACGGCCGTCGGTGACCAGAAGGTTCCCGAGGAATCTGCGCATCTCGCTGCGGGGATTCTCGCTGTGGGATTCAAAGGAGTCGTGGCAACGATGTGGTCTATCAATGACGCAACGGCTCCCGTCGTCGTTGAAACGTACTATCGGCGGCTGTTTGAGCTGCGAAGCTCAGAATCCCTTGTCGCGGGCTATACAGGTGCCGCATACGGGCTACATGATGCGGTGAAGGCACTTCGGGATCACGTTGGGGAACAAGACTTCGTGAAGTGGGCTCCCTTCGTGCATTTCGGCGTCTGATCACACGCTCAGTTGAAGAAGAAGATACAGGGAAGAGTGCTGATGATGGGCGGACGGTAGATATGAGGGAGATCCCGGGGGAGGAACGTGATTCAAACGAGGAGGAAGGTCTGTACGGGACTCTGCACCTGCGACGTGGGGAACGGCGAGCACGAGGCAAACAGCAACGCGCCTCCCGAACTTCCCACTGCCCTCGTTGAGAATGTGCATGCCAATATGGTAAATCAAGAGTTGTCGGACAGTGTGATTGCGGTCGTAGGCACGAGGGAGTTCAGGTCCGGACAAGTTGGCCAATGAATTTTCCGTTGCGAGAGAGCGTTGGACTTCTGGGCGCCTGGGGTAGTATTACGTTTCTGGTGGCTGTTTTCCAATGGTCTGTTAAGGATAGATAGTAGCGCTCGTATGTAAAGAACATCAGGGGTTTCCGTTTTTCAAGCATACCCGCATCGTCGCTGTGACGCCGCTCGAGGACGTCGAGCCGGAAGTAGCTCGCTGGAGGGGAGCCGGAGGAAGGGCGAGGGTGACAAAGGTGTGTGGTCGTCGAGCGAGCGACCGAGCGAGCTCCGACTACCGAGGCGATACTAGCTGAACGGGCTCTGGAGAGCCTCGGAACAGCAGCAGTCTCTCGTAGGGTAGCTTATGTAGTCTATAGAGACGGCCTCTGCGTTCGCGCCCCTCGGTTACCGAGAGAGCGAGGGCGGGCCGCCGTGAGCGTTCGAGCGAACGAGCGCGAGCTCGCGAATATAAGCGCGTTCTCGGGCGCGACGACCGAACTGCTAGGGCTAGTCGGTTCCCGACGTAGCCGTAGTCTTAGTGAGTAGGAGGAGCGCGAATACGCAAGAAAGTATGATAATGCAAGATGATGGTCTAATACAAGCGAGGCGTAGCTATGAAGTCCAATCGGCCGTTGCCGGCTCTACCACGTGCATCCGCCCCGGCCGGCGCCACA